GGTGTCATGATGAATGGAGACGATGTACCTTACCTTGGAAAAGGAATGTCAGGTAACTTTTTGTAAAAGTTTGTTTTGTGTGATTACTTTAAGTTTATTCATTTTTTCTTTCCACTTATTACATGTATTGCTATCATGGAGTTAATAGCTACGTATTACCGATAACATTAAATAGCTTTTTAATTTATTTCAAAATTGATTATGCTTTTTTTGTGTGTTTTGATTACAACTCTTCCTTGTGTAAAACTATTCTTAATTCCTTTTACTTCAGAAATGAAAATTTTCAATTTATTTTGTATGAGATCTTTGTGAAAGAAAAGCATCCCAATTTCATTAAAACCTGGAGAAAATAAACTGTCATGAAGTTTTTTATCCCTGTATTTTGTATTTTACAGGACGCCCAACCAGAACACTTATTCAGTTCTTGGAGAACCTCAGCAGACAGCAGTCTTAAAGAAAAGAAATACTTTTTGTGCTTCACTGTAATTGTTAAAGTTTATGCAATTAAACTGTTTAATGTCACATTATTATTTTTGTCAGAAATTTGAAATTATTTTCACAAAGCATTTTAGACTCTTAAGCTTAATTGCAATACACATTTGACTTAATGTTTAATTCACAACAGACATTTGTACAATGTTATTTGTCTTGTCAGTCAATAATCACTTTTAACCTATTCACACTGAGTTTTTTTTGTTAATCCAGAAAATATTTATTATCTAATTTTGTTACCCATATACAAATATTTGACTGAAATTGATCAAAATATAGTATTTTAAATATTAATTATGAAATAATGAAGACATTATAATATATATTATTTAAACAGAGAAAAATAAAGAGTAATATTAATATGTTTATTAATTTATCTTTGTTTTTTCGTGTGATTAAAAAAAAAGTTGATGTGACAAGTAGTTTTATTAGCGTTTCCGCGGCCTCCTGAAATTTCAGGAGCTCCTGGAAATGTCCTGGAATTTGAAAACAAATGATATATTCCTGGAAAACTCCTTAAATTTTAAAATTTCTCCTTAAATGTCCTGAAATTTTTGTTTCCACAGAGGGAGGGGTAAAAAAATCTTTGTCGCGATAGTTATTTTATAAATTAATACTAGCGAGTACCCGGCATGCGTTGCAATGCCACTCAAAGAAAGAAAGTGTTTGCATGTTAATTATGTTTCTTCAAGAGCTTTAAATACTCAAAAGTTTTTCTTGTTTTTCCATCAGGTATATACACGAATAAATCAGAAGATTTTCCGACGCGAGAGCAGGCCACATACATCTGTCCATGGGCGAAGCATGGGTTTTCCAAATTTAGTCCGCAAACTTGTAGCGATTGTCCTTGTGCTTCGTAGATAGTCATTGTAGATGCGTTTGAATTCAAATGGCATATCTGTTGGAATCATTGGGGTGAATGGCAAAAGTACATCACCTAGTTTAAATTTTCCATTTAAAATAGTAACTTCAATGGAACCAATTTCGGAAGATTCATTTGAGCAAATGTACTGTACCTAATGCTTCGATATCAAAGTGCGTTTCTCGTTGCGAATCAAGAGCGAAAAGTTTTTTGCAGATCAATTCCGAGAGGTCATTCCCAACTCATGAATCATCAATCGATATGAATAGTATTTCATGGCACTGACTTTCTTATTCGAATTTCTCAATTTGATGTCAAAATGATATCCATCTTCTCCTTGCCAAAATAAAATAGGATATTGCAATCAATCGTATGAGCGATGAGTTTCTGAGACTCGCTGAACATCAACACTTCTGTGATGAAGAATTATATCATGTGAGTTAAAATCTTCACCAACTATAACGATCGCCACTTCATCAATTGTTGGTGCATTGTATTGTCTTTCATGTTGGCCGACAGGTGTTTAGTCTGCTCTAACTATGACTTTGTATTCATCAGTCGGCATGTTTTGAAGTGCAATTCTATACATTTGAATTAATTGGTTGTGTTTCAAAAATAACGTTTGCATTGCAGCGACGATTTCTCGTTCAGTGCCCGTATTGATATGACAACGTTGATTGATTTGTTCATCAGTATTCCCCATGAAATCATTTGAAGACATTTGTGATCTGTGTTTGGCATTGGCATCAGAGATCCTACATGATGGTAAATTTGGCCTTGCACTTTACTTAAAATGTTGGCATGCAATTCTCGCGCACGATATTTGTTGCACCCAACGATGTCATTTGGAAACATGAATTGCACTTACGTATGTTTGCCAAGAAATGTTTCGATTGGCTTGTTTCACCGGATACCAAAGTTCAAAATGGTTCCGATGGTGAATGTAATTCTGGCAATTTCATTTTCCCATCCGCGCAGCAAATTCCCGGTGTTTCGTTTTTAAATTTGAGGGTACTGCAATACACGCATAATTGATCTATTTTTCCAATAACCACACTTGGATTAAGACTGTAATCATAATTAGCATCGTAATTGAATGTACTAAGATTTAATTCAGCGGGCAGTGTTCGTCTGGATTGAGCAGTGCGTACTCTATCGGAATCCAGTCTTGTTTCTTGCTGCTCGAATGATTCAGACAAACGGGTTTCAGCATTGCTTACTCGGCCGGTTTTGATTCTTGGTTTCCGTTGCTCGACTGTTTCAGGTGAACGGTATGGACCATTGCGTACTCGAGTGGATTCTAGTCTTGCTTACCGTTACTCAACTGTTTCGAAAGATCGGGACTACTTTTCCTTTCGTGCTTGAGGTTTAGATTGACCCAAAACTTTTTTTTGTGTGGCATAATTGATTTGACAGCGAAATTATTGCTTTGTGACATCTGTTATTAGCAATGGTATTTCACAATTAACACAACTTGTTAGGTCACAAACAAAATGAAATATCGCTGTTTGTATTTGATTCAATTAATTTACAATATTCCTTACGTTAATAATTTTCACACGTTGGGATCTCCCATCTTTTTACATGAAAACCTCGCACAATAGGTACGTTGATTGTTGTCAGGAGATTTCCAGGTGTATAGTTTCTCATTAGTTTATAAATCGTAAATTCCAGCGGTAAAAAAATGACCATAGTTCAATACCTACGTTGTCAAGTGTGTTATTTAATTACTTGAGAAACTATCGATTCATGTAAAATGTCTTTACATAACACAAAACAACTCCGAAATTATAAGACTATATTCAAGAAATACTCTTAGTTGAAAAAAAAAACGCGATTTCGATGTCATTTCCGATTCTAAAATACGTCACAAAATTCAAGCTTATTTATACAAATAACATAAATACTCTGTACACTAAAAATGCAAAAACGTGCTTTCTCTGCTTTACTACAATGTGTATTTTTTTTTAAGGGCGGGTAGTGTTGATATCTCCGTTATAAATTATATTGATGAAGCTCATTTTTAAAAAAAAATTGAATTTAGGGTCCCAAGCCCTAATTGGAATATTGTACAATGGATGTACTAAATTTGAAAAATTTGCCGGTGGATTCAGCTACTTCCACACATGCAATAGCTCTGTTTGAAATTATAGTTACAAAGCTCTTAGAAGAAAAAATGAAATTAGGGTCACTGGCCCAAACGGAATATTGTAAACAAAATTTTTTTCTAATTTAGAAACATTTTCGGTAGTGCGCATTTCACTTGACCCAGTTTTATCACAATCGAATGAATGGTATAGAAATGCATACGATAATTATATAGATAATAGAAGTGTGAAAAACGAATTTAGGGCCCCCCACCACAAATGGAATATTGTAGAATTGTTGTATTACTTCAGAAACCTACTTAATATGTCACATACTCAATTTAATATCACTATTTGTATTTGATTAAAAAGCTATCCATCCATGCATTAGCTCTGTTTGAAATTATAGTTGTATAGCTTATATAGAAAAAACGAACATAAGACCCCTGGCTAAAAACGGAGTGTTTTAAAATGGTTGTAATCATTTAAGAAACCTTTGCGGGCGTGCGCACAACATCTCTCTAAAATCTTAACGCATTCTAATAATGTGGAGGAGCGCATACGGAAATTATTTTTTTATAAAGCTCCTAATGTAAGGAAAAAAAACTCGAATTTTGGGCCAATTGCCAAAAAAACCGGAATATTTTAGAAGGGTTATAATGGCTTAGAAAAATGCTCTGGCTTATGGACAACAACTTACCTCAGTTTTATCGCAAGCGCTTGAATGATGTAGGAGCGCATATGGTTTGAAATTATATTTATATAGCTCATTTTTTTAAGAAACAAACATAGGGCCCCTGGCTCAACACTGAATATTTTAAAACGGTTGTAGTAATTTAAGAACCTTTGTGGGTGATAGAACAACATCTCACTAAATTTTTATCGCATTCTGAAAAATGGTATAGGAGCGCATAGAAAATTATTTTTTACAAAGCTCATATAAGAAAAAATATGAATTTGGGTCAACGGCCGAAAACGGAATATTTTAAAAGTGTTGTAATGAATGAGTAAAATGGGTATGTTTATAGATAATAACTCGTCAAAGTTTTGTCGCAATCCCATGAATGGTGCAGGAGCGCATACGGTTTGAAAATATATTTATATTGCTCATATAAGAAAAAACGAATATAAGGCCCCTGGCTCAAAACTGAATATTTTAAAACGGTTGTAATACTTCAGAAACATTTGCGGGCATGCTCGCAACATGTCACCAAAGTTTTATCAGAATCGGATAAATGGCGTAGTAGCGCATGTGGAAAATATTTTTTACAAAGTTCATAGAAGAAAAAAAAACAATTAAGGGCCAATGGCTAAGAACGGAACACTTTATAAGGTTTTTAATGACTCAGTTAAATGCCCATTTATTTGGATAACAACTGACCAAAGTTTTGTCGCAATCGAATGAATGGCGTAGGAGCGCATACGAGACATACAGACATACAAACATTCATTTATATATATAAAGATATATATAGATAATCGGTATATTCAAGTCGTAGTCTATTTTTAGCCATTCTGTTATCAAAACGAGTTTACCATAATAATTCTAGTGGTTTTCCCTTAACTGCGCATGCGCTTTACGAGTTTCGGATATGAAATGTCGTACCGTAATGCTTTGATAGACAATAATTTTTTTTCGTTCCGTTCACTTCGCCGTTCAACGAATTTTTTGGGTAAGTATAGTGTAAAATACAGTAAATAGATATTTATCTGTATTTATTTTAATATTTAGGTTGCTATTATGAATAGAAAACTACGCACCCTATCGCTGTATAATTTGACTAAGCTTAGTCTAATTTTTTTATTTTTTTTTTAAGTTGAAGTTTTCGTAGTTTTACTGTAACTGTCCAAACTGGAGAAAGCGTAGTTTCAGTTTTGGGGGCATTTTCCGAAGTTTTCAAAAACAAAAATTAACCTACTTATATGGTAGTTTTAAAGGAATATAATTTATACGTGAATAAAGTTTAAGTCTTTATCTGACGAATTATCTTACTTTTATCTCTTTAACACGAGTTTGAAAAGTATCAGTTTTGACCATTAAATTATACGGCGTTTTCGCGAGTATGGTGTCTTACAAACGCTCGCGGCTGCTAAGGCTAAAGTTAGCAAAGAATATGAATTTGATTTATAAATATTAACAAAAGTAGTAGGCCTTTTTTAATAACAATAATATTGACACATATTTTGTTAAACATAGTTTACGTTTAGTTAGGCCTTCAAAATAGGAAAATACTAAATAAAAAATTAAGTTATTTTATTTTTGCGTGTTGTAGCATAGTTTACGATGACTTTGGAACTTCATTTTAAAGTTAAAGTTATTAAAACTAGCTGATGCATCCATTGAGCTTCACATAACTTTACTTAGTTAGTCCTTATTTATACACGTCATGGGCGCCGCAGGTAGGGGCAAGGTGGGGCACCTGGATTGATTGGATAAAAAATGTTTAGACAAAAATAGACACAAAATTTATTAAAGTAAAGAGAAAATAAGGAGAAAGTAACTAAGCTGATGTCCTGTCCGTTCGTTCACCATACAAATACGCTACAGTAAATTAAAACTACATTAAAACATTTCTAAAAAAAATTTGCCCCCCCCCCTGGAAAGTTAATCTGCGGGCGTCCATGATAGTTAAAAATTAAGTGATGCACCCCTGTGCTCTAGGTATACTTTGCGGTATTATAAGTTTATATTATAAGCACAGTTTTGGGGGGGGGGGGGGAAGACTTCAGAAATTTAAAAAAAAGTGGTTGCTTGGTCGCTGACCCATTCCCCCTGTTTAAAATCCGGACTAAGCCATTACATAGGAATATGCCTATATTAGTTTCTCTTCTGACCCTGTATTATTTCGTATTATTATTAATTTAGTATCAGTATAACTTATAAATATAGTCAATGTTATATACCTAATATAATAAATTAATTCTATTTAATTTAACTATTCAAGGTCTAGGGTAAATAAATGCACAACGGTTCTTTTGAGGACTGATGATTAAGATAGCAATCCTGATTGAACAAGCCATCACTGCTACTCTATACTAGATATTGAACTGAACTGAGTCAATCCTAAGCTAGTGGCTAGTGTACTGGAGTTCTATCCCCAGAAAATGCCTAGACAAGCAAAAACATCACCAGCATGCCGGGTAGATGGAACTCGTTAACTTTGAATGGCAACTCAACTTAGAGAAGGAAAACTATGAAATCAAACCCGGAGATGGAGACCCGTAGACGTTATGACATTGACTCAATGAAAATTCCGACAAATTCCTATGACGTAGCGCACATAAAGAGCATAGTGAAACACACACACTCACTGCTGGTAATCTACTGCATCCTGATCTATATCCAGTCGTCTTGACTAATCTTGCCCTTGAATCAAATAGGCAACGACCCCTAAATTTCAACAAAATACAGCTCACGTCAAGGCTACTGCTCCAGTCTTAGGGATCTTTATGTGTACAGGACAAACAAAAATATTGAAAATATATGAATGATATTTGCAGGGCAGTTCTCGGATGCCATGAAAATTAGGGGGAAATGATCAACAAGGATAAACAACAATCATCTGAGACTTCCTCTAGTTTAACTTCAGTTTTTTCCCCTACCTCGGGTGTCCACTTTTGCAACTTCTTAGTCAAGTTCCCAGGTTATGTGTATCTTCGGAAATAAATATGACTTACTTGTGATTAAAATGGATTATATTGTAACTTTATAAGTTGTTTGTTATCCAACATCAAGTACACCTTATTCTTATAAAAACCAACTTACTCAATTGTGTGTGAACTCGGGGCCAGAATATTTATACCGGTACATACCTAATTCAAATAATTGCTATAGCATTGGCAGTCCTTAGAGTAAGTACCGGTACTATATAAGTGCATTTATGTCCTGTTACTACAAAAAAATTGTATAAGCGTTTAGGGTCTCTCTTTTTTTTTACTCTTTAAAAAATGTCCTGGAATTTTGTATTTTCTCCTGGAAAACTCCTGGAATTTGTTTTTAGATTTGGTGCAGGAACCCTGTTTTATTAAGTTTATAAAATTTATTTTGCTATTGTCTTTTTAGGCAAGTTATTTTAACTACCCAACATTAGATTATTATCATTAGAGTCATGGGTATATGTCATATCAAGGATCATAGTTATTTTTCATAATAAGGATCATATGTAAATGTCATAATAATTTATTGATATTGAAATTAAATGATATAAAAGTGGAATTTTTACGCATATTTCACATATCCTAGACTAAAGATATGGGCATCTGAATAGTGGGGCATTGTTTAGTTTTCATCTGAAGATTTATGTTGATATTATCAAATTAGAATTTAAGATCTTTAAAAAAAATCAATTTGGCTTGGGGTAGGTAAATGGGCGAGCAGGTTCACTATTTTCATGTCTGCATCTCTGTTTTCTACAGCCCTTTTTTCAAAGCAATAAAATATTTGGATGTTTGGTGTAACTGCTGATTACTAGCCAAAACTTGACCCATTGCCCCCTACTATCTCATAGAGATAACAAATGTTCAAACAAATAAGGGAGTTGGGGGTGGGGTGTTTGTGCATTCTGAGAGAACTGGTGATAAAGGTTAAATTAAGTACTGAACTACTTATTACCTCAGTTCATCAATTTTTAAAATTGCATGCCTTTGTATTAATATCCATCTCCAGAAGGTAGGCCTTCTTTAATGACTGTACTTGCATACCAATAAAAGAAGTATACAGTTGATTGTTTTTAACCAGTATAACTTTGATAAACTTTCCCTCTTTGCTTTATCAGTGTTCAGTATCATTATGCACAGTTGGATATAGTTTTATAAGTGCATTTTGACAATATTCGCTCTAATTCAAGGCCCATATGCTTTGGGGCCGTTCACATAGGCCTGTATGATAAAACACAAAAATATGACATTCACCTGTACCCTTTCCCATATAATGTTATATAACATTTCCATTCGAACCCCCCCCCCCCCCCCAATATTATATACAATTTCTTGCAAAACCCACACACACTCCCCAATAAAACTGATCAGAGGCGTAGCGAGAGTATTTGGCGCCCTGGGACAAGGATCATTTTAAAGTACCTCCCTTTCTTTTTCAACTCTCAAACCAATTATTTTCATCAATAAAATCAAAGCACATTTTGGCGCCACTAACTAGCTGGCGCCCGGGGACATCTGGCCCCCTCCCCCCTTCGCTAAGTCTCTGAAACTGAATAAAGTCCAGAAATTTGTAAATCAGAAATGATGAAAAAATTATTGTTATATAACATTGCTCTCAACCAACCCCACTCTACATACCATACAACAAAGTGATAAACCACCCCCTACCCCCTTCACGTTATATAATATGTGAACAGTCCTTTATAGCCCAAACTAAGCAAATGGATTTCAAAATGTTTATTATAGACTCAACTCACGGTCATATTTTTATTTAACATTAAATGTAGTCTATATTAAATAATGTTATCAATTTAAAACAGCTATTTTATTCAACATATCCCAAGCACAGATGGCTAATCTTTTCCGATCAACTTTGTCTCCTGTTGACATCCAATCAATTGTTTTCAAGTTATATGGTCTGAAGGTTAAAGTGGTTAAAGAACTCAATAGTTATGATGACCAGAACTTCCTCATGGTTGCCGCACAAGATTTCCCTCCACCTGATTACCTGACCAAGTTCCTTAGTCCCCATGGTTATGTCATAAAGATTCTCAACTCCTTAGACTCGAGGAAACCCATGGTTATAGGTTGGTTAAACTTGGTGATTTTAACCTATTCCGATACACATTTTTCCTTCAACATAAACCAAAAAGCTAACTTGAGTCACGCTTCTAAATGACTTGTTGACATAAGAGCATTTATTTTTCAAAAATCAGAAACGTGTCTATTTCAACCAAAAAAGAAACAACAAAGCTCCAAGGAATTTTTTATTTAAAGATCTTTGGAGGTAAAGTTCAGAATTTTTTTTTTTTTACATGAAGGAATATCTTAATTTTAAACTCTCAGGCCTATGTAAAGTGTAAAAATAATAATAAAATATTCCTTCCACTTCCATGAAATTTACCTACTTTTAATTAGCAAAAGCTTTTTTTTTTCTAATGAAAAGATAACTTTTATGCAATTATTTTTTGTTCTCCAGAAACTCAGAATCAAATAATTCATCACACTAAGAAATCAGGATACCCAACTCCTAGCCTAGTTCCATGCATTGATGGTAGTTACCAGGTAGAATTAGAACAACAGAGCACTATACCAGGACCTCAACATAAGTCACGTCATGGTAATATGTAACACATTTTTAAATTAATTTTAATATTAGTAGGCTATAATTTTAAATTTCATTAAGTCAGTAAGGTGATCATTTAAAATCAAGTACCGGTATTGTATTTTTTCAAACAAGAGAAATTCTGCATATTTTAATTTAATTTGAATGTATCACCTTTTTCTACAACTACAATCATCAATGGTTCAGTGATTTAAAATATTTAATATAGTATAAGTTTTAGGATGAAACAGTATATAATTATAGATCTGATTGCAAGCCATGATAACAAAATACTTAAGACTTAAGACTTAGAGAATGTGAGAATGTATATATCTTATGCTTCTGACAAGATGATGACACAGTGAAGGAAAAGAATATTGTTAGAATGTTTAGTTATATACCTGGAAAAACACTGGATCAAGTGCAACTAACACTTCAACTATGTTTTGAAATTGGATGGTATGCTGCCAAGATGGATGCCATTTTAAAGGTATTGTTTATTCATCAGATTACTCCGTTATGGTGAGTTGAATTATTCAATAAGTTGGGTTATTGTTTTTTTTTGCAGTGGGTGTTTGTGTGGGGGGAGGGGGGGTAGTATTCAAAATGCCTCAATGATATGATAACCAGAAGAAAATTTCCCCAGCGTTTCATGGAAAAAATATGTTCAGTTTATTTTCTTGCCTTTCATTTTTGAGAACTGTTAATTTGGGTCCTTTTATATTTTTAACCATGGACTACTAAAGGTTGCCCCTGACCTTGGAAAGCGACTTTGGTTAGTTCTCTTCATATATTACTCAATTTAATAACAATGCAAGCGGATGAAATGAAGTATATTTGTATGACATGGCGTGCCATCAGGGCCGGCCCTAACAATTGCGGGGCCCTATGCGAAATGGATTGCGCGGGGCTCAGTCTGAGTAGGGATAAAGATAATAAGAGAAAAATTAAGATTTTGTATTAGAAAATAAAGTGCGGGGCCCACTGCGGCCGGATAGGTTGTAATGGCCTAAGGCTGGCCCTGCGTGCCATTGCTCCTCAGTATTTTTCTTTCTCAAAGAGTCCTAAATTTGATTTAGAATTTAGTGGGTTGTTGTTTTTTTTTTGGGGGTGGGGGGGTTGCAGGTGAACTTAGAAATAACATGAGAATAGAGAATATGTGTAAACAAAAATTTTTTAATTTGATTTAGAATTTAGAGGGTTGTTGTTTTTTTTTTGGGGGGGGGGGGTTGCAGGTTAAATTAGAAATAACATGAGAATAGAGAATATGTGTAAACAAAAATTTTTTTCAAAGTTTTATGCATCAAATTTGAAAAAAATAATAATTATAAATATTTTATAGGCTCATTAATTAAAAGTCAAATAAATTGAAATTAAATTAATAACATTAATTTTTTAAATCCACTTTACTTTTATATTTTATTGCAAGTGGAGAATTACAAAATTTTAATTATAGCATGAACACTTAGAGGTGGAAATAATTTGAAATATACTGGTAAAAAAATTGTCCTTAAAGACTGCATATTATTAATTTTTATACATTAAATACAAGCATTAAATATCTAATAATTTCATTCTATGCATTACAGTGGTCATCAAAGTTTTTTGGTGATGCACCCCTACTGACAATAAGAAATGTTTATTATTGTCTCCTAGTGTTGGAACTTGTCTAGAGTAAAGATTTCTCTTGAACATTTTATTTAAAGCTGACACCTCTATGTTCACAGGACTTTCCAATCAATAAATATACAGTTTTAAAAGAAATGACAAGAAAATGGAATATGACAGAGATAACAGAATTGGGGAGCAAAATTCCTGTAATAAATTTAAACTCAGAACAGATGAATTTGATTACAACAGTGCTCAACCAGTTTGAAACCAATATTCTCTCCTGTCAGGACCAGTTTTCAAAAGGTGAATTGTTTTTAAATTTATAAAAAAAATATGTCATCTATTAGGCCATCAGTTAAGAAAATATTTTAGTTTATTTTATCACACATGAAGGAGATTCTATTTATGGTTAAAATAGTGTCCAGAGATATGTATTTTATGATAATTCTTTTAACTCAAGAACATTCATCACAAGACAGAATCAATAGTCACAGTCTGATTACATGCTATATTTTTGCTGGGTCATGACTTGTCTTTTCTGCTAATATGTGAGTGAACTATTGTAATTTTTCCTTTTAACATATTGAGTGCATTGTCACACAGGCCTATAATTGGCATGACAACATGGCAATAAGAGAAATGTGCATTTTATGAGCCAGACAGAGTAAATTAGATATGAGGACTGAATAGTCAATGTTTGTGGTGATAGTCATAGGTTATAATTTTTTTGATCAGGATGTGTAGGATTTTTTGAGGCATGTATTTTCTATTCTGAATGACAGTAATTACTTCTTAAGCAAATTTGGACTGAATTGCACAATTTGCCAAGAAATAAAGAACCTGAACTTTTAAACACTTTGTCGTCGTTTAGACTTTTTACTACGCATCAGCCTGGTAGAGGGGGGGGGGGGGGGGGGGGGGGGGGGGGGGGGGGGGGGGGGCTAGGAGACACAAAAAGAAAAGAGTCCTAGATTCTGACATCGTTTTCTGTGGCCATAGCAAAGGGGACCTACTCCTATACAATGTTCTATCCGCCACATCAATTAAGTTTATGTATACTAAATGAATTGCACTTTATTAAAGATTACAGTATTTCTTTACATTTCTCTTCTGCCTCTGTATTATTTAGTATTATTATTAATTTAGTATCAGTATACTTATAAATATAGTCAATGTTATAGACCTAATATAATAAATTAATTCTATTTTATTTCACTATTCAAGGTCTAGGGTAAAGTCTAGTGTCTTCGCAGGTGTTAGGTTAGGGTAAATAATTTTTTGGTATCTGTATTTATTTATTAGGACTGCAGAATATAATAATTTTTTTTCAATTCGTCCATGTTCATAATTTATAACAATATTTACCGGTAACACGGAATTATTTCACATTTGATTTTCCATTGCTTTAAATTTTCTTAAATTCTTAAAAATTGTTCATAATCATGCCTCACTATTGATCATTACCTCTAAATGTAATTGCAGGATTGATTCACAGTGATTTTAATGAATGCAATATTCTTGTCAACCAACAAGATTCAGAAAATCCAGTGATTGCTGAAGAATTCAAGACATTCATAACCTCACTTAATTCTTTCTCCAAAGATCTTAAATTAAAAGGGGACAAGGATGGTAATGTAAAGTGCCACATTTCAAAAGGAACTTATCACATCTGTGGAATCCTTGACTTTGGTGACTGCACTCATTCACTTTACATGTTTGAAATTGCCATAGCCATGACCTACGTGATGCTCAACCAACATGGTGTTGACCCAATGGCAGCTGCTTGCCATGTCCTAGCAGGATACACAAAACAGATGTCCCTGTCAGATGTGGAGGTGCAGCATCTTAAATTGTGCATATGTGCCAGATTGGTCCAGTCGTTGGTGATGGGATATTTCTCTTTCTCACAAGATACTGGCAATGATTACATTCTAACACATGCACAAAGAGTATGGCCAATATTGAAACGAATGTGGGAGGCACAAGATTCTGAAGTTTACCACCATTTTAAACAATTTGTCCATCTTCTTTGAATGCCAAAGATACATTTTTCTGCAATGATGGCTGTGTTGCATTTAAAAACCAACAAAATAAATAATTTTTTTCTAAATCAATTGTTCAATAGTGCTCATAATTAAACTTATACTGTGATGTGATATACAACTAATTTGATCAGTTTCAGTAACTTGCCAAGTGGACAAAGAGAAATTACAAGACTTAGCTTTAACTAATCAAAGTTGTACGCACTTTCAAGCTGAGAGAATGCGTAACCATGACTTAAGCTATACCTTCTTTCAAAACAATACTTTATATAAAGTGAATATCAATTTTAGATATTGAATCAAATGCATATTAGTTCAAGTTTTATTGAACCTTTTACAGTATTACTGTCTTAATAATTTTCTACTTTCTAGTGAAAAATTCTATTTTAGGATATGCTAATCCACCATGTATGATAATATGTGCATGCCAAAACTCCCCTTTTATGCCATGAGAATAATGGGGATATACAAATCAGCTCTCATACATAAAGAATTATAATGTCATCATACATTCTAACTTCAGAAGTCAAACATTCCATTTTGCAAATACATTTTTAACAGCTCACCAAAAAAATAAAAATAAATCAAATTGGAGAAATCAGTCATATTTGTGTTTACTTCATGAAATTTACATAATCTGGATTCAAAATCTAATTTACAGAATCCCATTTGTCAGCTTTGTAAGTAAAAATGAATTTTAAAGCTTGACAAAAAATATGTAGCATTGGAACAAAGCATTTGACAACAATTTTACCACATATTTTAAATTTAAAAAAAGCATTATTACAACAAATGAAAAAGTGATAAAGCTCTACATAATATAATGAACACATTTTTTTCTACTTTAAATGAGGTGTTCTTAATTGTAACTGTAGTGAACATAAATATAATTTATTTGTTGTCTTAAAATTTAAATGCATGTTGAGCCAAAAAAAGGAGTGAAACCACTGCAAAAAATTAATGAGTAAATTGAACTTCTAAATTATAATAAAAAATGAATATACATTTGTTTAAAAAAAATGTATTGTCTTAAAAAAGAATCTTAATCTTATCATAGATCACAATATTATCTTAATCATATAAGTTAGTATAACATAGAAAATAACAACTAACAACTTGATTGCAATTAGCCAAGTGCGTGCTGAAAAAAGTCAACAAAATGTCATTCACAGAAAATTTACAACGAATCAATCAAAGAATGCATCTATAAATATCGAATATAGTGAAGTATCTCTTCCTTACCACCTTAGAATGTTAAATAGGTCCATAATTCAGCATCTCAATATCCTGCTTGAGTAAACTAAACTATGATTTCACACCTGGTTACTTTATAAACTATTAAAAGTAAGTAAATAATATTTTACATCTTTTAATTTTCTTTGAAATATAGCAACCCGGTAAATAAACTAAGCCTCGCAAAGAGGTCCAAAATTGTTCAGATTTGAACTATTTGAATGCACTTATGAAGTGCATCATTGATATATAAAAAAAAAAAAATTTGTACTTTAAAAAATAGCTAACAGGATTAAAATTCTTGATCTAAGTTAAGCCTAAAAGAAACCTAGAAATCATCAATAGCTTGATCTATGTGAATGCCCCTCTCTGCCATTGCCTTTTTTTTGCGCTCTTGCTCAGCCTCCCTCTCTAACTGCTGTTCTCTCTGCAACTCCAGAATTGTGTCAATGTTAACTTGCTCCAAAGGCAGATTGTGCTCATTTTCTAGGTCCTTAAATGAGAATAAACATAAAAATATAAAATGCTGTAAGGTTAAGTTTTAACTGGCAATTAAAGTGAATGGGATTTCCAAAATAGACTGACAGGGAAATGGACTGGTTAAACAGTAAGCAAAATAACATAACATGTTAAACACTTATGGATGTAATCAACCATTTTCATCTGCAAAACAATTATTGATAGTTTAATTTCCAAGAGTTCCCCAACCTTCAAGTCAGATGACATAATTGTAAGTTCTTAGCTCATAAAGTGTGTTCCATTGTTATTGAAATTATTGACCTTCAAAGTTCCACACTTTCGTCATCAATCATATTTCCCTATACTATATTTATGGGTTTTTCTTTCATCTTCATTCAATAAAATTTTTGTTATTACTCGGTCCTTAAAAAATATTATACAAAAAATTTCAACAGTTTTTAACCATTTAAATAATTTCAGAAATAAAGATATATGATCACACCTGTTAACAGTTAAAAAAAAACATAGCAATTTAAATTGAGTCATTGAAGGAAAGATTCGCTTTCCTTTAGTTTTTTGTCAGGATAATATTATAATTAAAATAAATGAGATCAAGGTACTTACAACTTCTCCCAGTAACACGACATTCTCTCCACGAACTATAAAGATACCACGGGGGATATCTCCATACTTTTTTCCAACATGAATGCGTTCAATAGTTCTATGCAGCACCAGATTGGCTATAGTGTAAAGGGGAACATTTTATAATTAACTAAAAATTAATGTACTCCTACTAAAAATGAACAAAAATGTGTTGTAGTTAAGTGTTAACATAATAAATTTTTACAAGAATTTATTTTCATTGATAACAAAGTCACATTAACAAGTTCCTTAGTCCTTAGAATTTATTGACATAAATTAAAAATTGTAGAGCTAAGTATTGAAGATGTTTAATTTTTTTCCTGTTTGCATAAGGTAATTTTTTTATTAGAAAATTTAAAAATCTTTCCATGTACTAATTTACATGTACTTACCAAACTGATCAATTGTTCTTAAATAACCAATCAGAGTTCGTCCATCTCGTAGGACAACTAACAACTTCTCTAGACAAAGAAAAAATCAACTATAAATGTGCATTAAAAAATTAGCAAGGTTATTTGAACCTACTTTTAACTTCAAATTAAAGATATAAAGGCCTAATACTAGTGACATAAGAAGTTGCTTGTTTTTTGTCTTCAAAATAGGTCTAGGTTAAAAATATAAAAAACTGGAATGATAACAAGAACTTTATAATAAAATATCTTATTGATGTTATCCTGAAAAGCGATAAATAGCAAACATGGAATTAAACTTGATAAAATCAATCACTGTTAGCTATGTTCCCTCGGAATGGTAACAGTCCACAATATGTGGAATATTGATATTAACCAGTTTGGGGCCTGCTAGTAATTGCAAAAATCAATGGGAATTATGCCTGTCTTAAGTTAAATCTTGTTGGAAGCAATTTAATCATTAGTCATAAAATTTTTTGAAATCTGGCATAACAACATTGAACTTTATAAAACAATATCTTATTGATGTTATTCTGAAAAGGGATAAATAGCAAACATGGAATTACACTTGATAAAATCAACCACTATATATCTAATTATGAGTTAGCATCTTTTTTTGTTGATTTCCTCTAAAAGTTAAGATAGTTACGATGGAATTCACCATTAAATTAGCTGTATCATTTTTTTACAATGAGCAAACCAAAATATATTAAGGAAAAAAAAAAGATCATGTCAGTTGGTTTAGTAATCATTCACAAAATGTCGGAAGCAATTTAATTATTAGTCTTAGTCAAGTATGAAGTACTATCTAAGACTATATATTTTAGAAAGTTGTTTTTTAAAGCAATACATTATGTCATAATGCCAGCAATTATGAAAAACACCCTCTTTAAAAATTGAAAAAGAGTTTAATAGCCCAGACACCCATTTGGCCCACTTTACGGTTTTCACAGATCTTTTATTATATAATTACCTAATTAACTATTTATGTCTATGACTTGACAGCAACTAAAACAAACAGTAATAGACTACAGTTAAAAATCTGTTTAAAAATCAGATTTCTACCACCATTTAATCAGTTTACCACAAAAAAACACAGTAAATATTGTTGTTAGGGCCTAATATTAGAAGATTGTAAGTTATTATAATTACCAAAAGGCCTATTAAATTAGGCCAGGGTAGGAGGCTTTACTACAAGCTACACTACAGTGTTATAACTATGCCTTAATATTCCTATTAATGCTATATGTTTGGTAACAAAGTACCTTACTTAGACTAAGTTAGACCCTGAATAATATGTGATCCACTGGACAACTAGTAGTAGTTCTCAACATGGGGTATATGCCCCATAGAAGGGCAATGCCAAGATAAAAGGGTGGGGGAGGAGTGCCAGCACTTTAAGTCTCTGATATAGGAGATGTATTATATTTCTATTTCTTTTTTAAAGGGGTGGGGGGATTGGGGTTGAAATGTAAGAAAGCCTATTGTAAGTTTTATTCTACCACAATGAATCTTGTGGCATATGGACATGGTAATAGAATGGCTGTACAGGTTGTGAATTGAAATAAAATTTTCCTGACAGCAGTGCAGATGGAGAGTTGAGACCACTTTTTATTAAGCTCTTCCATTAAAATGGTAGTAGGTATTAAACTTTTTAAGATGCTCTGTTGGGTAATAAAAGATTTGTAAATACTTATCAAGAGCAGAGTTGACATCTCAAAAAAATCAAATTTACTGTCAATTATTCTAAAGCTACAAAAGTTTTAAAGACATAATATTCTTTTTACTGACATATTTTTAAAAAATTTGTTGAAACTATGCAGTATCATTCAGTATGGCTAGTTGCTTTAACTTTAGGCAGTGTCTACACGTCCAACGACCAGACAAATAGTGCGAGAGATATTCTTCCAGCGGGCTTGTCGCGTGACCGCCAAACGACTAGTATGTTTTATTATTCTGGCAGACATGTCATGTGACAAGACATCGCCGGCAAATATTAAAAAAAAAAGTCTATCTCGGTTTAAATATCTTATAAAGTTCTACCTAGTAGCGTAAATTTAAAATATGAACCAAAGAAAATAAGACCAATACTTGCCAGTTGAATGTCAATAGATCTACTGTAAAAAAAGTTATATTTTATGCTATTAATATTGCATGAGAAGTAGGCTACCCCAACAGCACACCATATTATAGTGGCCCTATATTAGGATGTAGGCGTAGGGGCTATTTCGATGTGAACTTTCGACCTCCCGCCTTAATAATTTTTTACCCTCAAAATCATTTTTATCCTTTCTCTCATGCTCTATGAATTTCTTCCTTCTAGTAAGCAGTGCTTCCCCCCACCACCTAATTCTTGAAATGAAGTGTATAGTATACTCTTCACCCCCCATGCATCTCCGACGCCAGTTTTATGATCAACTATTAGGGGTCACGTGACAAAGCTGGCGGACAGATATCTGGCCCAACTTTGTTACAATGTGACCTGGTCGCCGGATGAATATCTCGAGAATTATTCTTCCTGTTGCCGGACGTGTAGACCATGTCTACAAAAAGATCATGAAGATGTCTAAAGCTAAGATGGCATTATTAAAATTAGGCCTATTAAGTAATGACAATTGAAAACTTCATTTGTAAAAATCTATTACTTTTATTAATGATTATTATTTAAATTTAAGTTATTAATAAGTTAGATATACATTGAATTTATTTATGTCATATAAGTTATGATACAAAAAATAGGCTAGGTCGCTGCTGGATAGGCCTACTCATTTTTATTTTATAAATAACAGGACATTACTCAACTCATTTTTCAGTAAAAGTAACTGAGTCAGAGTGAAATCAGTACCTCTCTAGTGACTGTTTGACTTGAGTGTGAGAAGTTATTAATATTAGTTAGTGAGACTGAAGAGTGAGTACGACTAACTTTGAGCGGTAGACCCGGTAAATATTATTAATTAAATTTTCCCTAGCAAGACAAATAATTAAGTAAAGTTTATATAGAAAAAGCAGTAATGTGTAAAGCAAAGTACTGTGCGTACTATCTATTTCTTCAACCAAGCTCGCTGTTCCAGGCAAATAGTTCATCCTTTCTCTTTAAGTCTAAAGTTTTTTTCACATCTACGAGAGAGCACCATTGAAATCCCAACATGCCAGATACGCTAACAAGTTGCCAGTTACGACACTTTTTGCGTAGAATTGTTTCGATTTTTTACTTTTAAATAAGGACACATTTTATTGATTCCGAAAATTAAGTGACTATTCGTACCCGAGTACCAGAAGTGAGAGGTTGGGATTAAAAAAACAATATAAAATATTATTGTTGGGTTTGTAAGATAAAATGAGGTACCAAATGAAAGATAATTGAATGGACTATATGTTTGTAAACTTATTACTTCTTCAGTTCAACTAAAACAAACAAACTTATTTCTCAGAATTTAGATAAAAATGGCTTACTGTCACAAAAGTTACCGAACACTTTATTTGGCGTTGACACATAGTCAAAACGGTGTGTTTCTGACCTAATAATAAATTAATAAGGTAACCTAAATTCTGACGCATCAACCTTGAAATTTTAATATTAATGAAACACGCATTTTGATTGGTTACATGGGTGGAAAATGTACGTTTCATCTGTTATCCTTTTATGACTTTTGGTTAGACAGTGTGTGCCTTGTAATTACGCTATTTTTCGATTTGGTGTCACCCCTTGAGATGGTGTCAAACGGTGCGGTCCTCACTCCCCCCCTCCCCCCCCCCCGGCCACGCAACTGAATACAATTTTCTGGTTTTCCACACCTCAGGGCTGGGGAGGTACTTGTACCCTTGTTTAAGAACCACTGTTCTAGTGAATTTTTTTTGACGCGGGTGCAGTAATTTGATATCCACGGGAGGTGAATTTCTGAAGGGATTTGTAATGGACAGTAGTGGACACAGGGACTTTTTATAGGTGGTGGGGGGAGGGGTACAGAGATTTATGACGTTATATTTGGGGGGGTGGGGGGTCTAACTTTTTGTGATGATTTGCGACGATCTGCAAAGTTTGCGTGACGTAATTTATTGATGGGCCATATATATATATATATATAGACCCTACATATATATAAGGGGAAAAAATATAATTTATTAAAATGCGCCTGACTCTGCAGAAGTGTAGATGAGGATCTATGACTATGTAGCCAAAGGATTCGAATTGAATGTAGAAGAAAATAAATGTTTTATTTTATTATTATTATTTTAAAAAAATGTTTTCTGCACACACTTCTTCGTGTAATGCATTTTAAGAATATTTAAATTAATTTCTACTTTTTAGTACCAGCATTAAAATTTTAATTTTTCTGTTATCGACAAAAGAAGTATTATTTACCGTACTTTATTATTTAGTTGTTTTATTTTTAAATCCCCAAAATCCTACTGCTGTCATATAAGCGCATCTGCCCACCCTTCACGGAATGCAGATGACACAACTCAGTTGTAGCGTGACGATCAACACCTTTCAGGTGACCACTTCACGAGAAAATAATATACTGAGCAAAAATGTCACGCGAGTTAACAACAAAAAATTGCGACAAACAAGATGGAAATGCAAGTAGAAACAAAGTCGTTGATCAAAAAAAAAAAGTTCAAAGAAAGTAGCATTACGGTAAGGGGCCGTCCGTAAAGAACGTCACGCTATTTTTTTTACCATTTTTACCCCTCCCCTTTGTCACTAACTGTCACAAATCTCGGATTTCCCCCCCCCCCGCCCCCTGTTCACGTTTGGTCTAGGCCTTTTGGCCAAGATCAAAGTGTAGTCTATCCCGCTTTGTGATTGTCCGGGTCGGTAAGGGGCCGTCCCTAAAGAACGTCACGCTATTTTTTTTACCATTTTTACCCCCCCCCTTTGTCACTAACTGTCACAAATCTCGGATTTCCCCCCCCCCCCGCCCCCTGTTCACGTTTGGTCTAGGCCTTTTGGCCAAGATCAAAGTGTAGTCTATCCCGCTTTGTGATTGTCCGGGGTCGGGACGATCCTTGTCACAGGTATAGAGGCGCAATGCCAAGAGACAATTTAAAAAAAAAAAAAATTAACAACTAATTAAAATTTAATCTAAAACACACTTCACTATTAAACTTTATTAAAATATAGAATTACCACTTAAAAGAACTATCACATTATTAAAATGACTTTAAAAGAAGAATAAATAATTGTCAACAGTTTTCACAGTCATTCATTGAAGCAGTAACTCAATCTAGATTGAATTGAAAAAAAAAAGTTTCAAAAATTAGACTAGACAATCATGGGCGCCCGCAGAAAACTTTCTAAAGGGGGGGGGGGGGGGCAAAAAAATCGTTAAATTTCCCGGGGGGGGGGGGCATTTTTTTTTTTTTTTTTCTCTTTTTGTCTAAAAATTTGTTATCCAATCAACCCCGGGGGGAAGCAAGTGCCCCCCCCCCCCTTGCCCCCTCCTGCGGGCGCCCATGTAGACAATTATATAATACATATCACATCATTTATCTGCTGCTTTTTCATTTACAAAAGGTGAAGTCAAGTTTAAGATAATTTAGTGATTAAATAGTAAAGAGGAAACCAAACAATTTGACTAAAAAAGACTAGATTGACAAATTATGTGACAAACTCTTGAGCTATATTGAGACTGTTTATTATCGGCCTGTGAATTATGTTTAAATCACAAAAATCACTGGTCATCATCCCTCCATGGTGAAGTGAAGTGTTCATCCATAGTTACGACTGGCATCAATTTTTCGCTATCATCGTTTCCCGGTAGGACAATTGCAAAAAGATCAACTTCATCCTCATCTAGCCACTCAACATCCTCTGAATGTGCATTTTCTCTTCTGGCAATAACTGACATGAGTTCTCTTTGCCTTCTAGCAGCAATTCTCAAAGGACTGATGCGTTTTATCTAAGTTGATTCTGCAACAGTTTGGGTTGGCACATTCTCCCGAGCCCGAACTCTGTGTTGTCCTGCATGTTTCTTCAACATCGTTTGTGAGGCAAATTATAAGTGACATACTTTGCGAATTCGATCAAGTAAGCTGGTCTGCAAAGATGGAGACTAAAGATCACGTGGTTGTACTTTGAAAACTCCTGTTGATCACGGCAAGGCTATACATAAAACAAGGCTTCGCAACAACACACTAGTGACACTAGAGCTCCTAGCGAGAGGAATCGTGAACAACACATTCAGGAGATATGCATTTCATGCTACTTTGACATAAAACTAACTCAAATGTTTCACACAATTTAAAACAAATTTTTTTTTTCAAAGCTATTAAATTCTAATAAAAAATAAAAATAAATTAGAAATAAAATTTAAAAAAAATTAATGTGTGACGTCACACATGGCCTGACCCCGCCCTCCCCCCTACTGGGCGCGTCCTGCGTGGGCAGACAAGGGATGTGCTCGGTACCTGCCGTACATAAAACAGCTCCTACAGGGCTGCCAGTTGTGATATTTCCCAACTGGAATAAAAGGCAGAGACAGGGTAGGGATCATGATTACAAGTTGCCGTTAATGGATATGAGGAGAGAGGCGATGGTGGTAACCTCTGGCCGATGATTCTTACTACGCAGCCCTGAGAAGCTGCTCCAAGGCAACCGTTTCGTCCCAGCTGCATCGCGAATTAGTTGCGTTGTGGAAACCCACTGTGGAATCCCTCTTATAACGCTTCCCCGGGATGGGTGGGGGAAGATATTAGGACGTAAATTTTTTCATCCCGACTCCAGAGAAAGTCGATCGTGTGCACTGTGTGCGAACACAGTGTCGGACCGACTGGGTGTCTTTGGGTTAGGACGGCCCCCGGCGGAGACCTGGTCGAGCAGACTCGGGTGGGGGCCGTCCTGACAAAGGGACATTCCCGACGTGCCGCTCCGCGGCCCGATACCGGGTGGGGAGGGGTGTTTTGAGGAGGGCATATTCACGGTCCGCTGACGGCATTTCTTAATGTAATAATAATGGTCTGTTATAATGCAGTTCAACCCAAAAAGTTAGGAACTAGGAAAACCAAGGAAATCTAATGGGGGCACATCTTAACAAATGTGTTTTTCCATAAAATGTGTCATATTCAAAGCCATTTTTTGTAATGTAGCTTGTGGCCCTATCATTTTAAAACTGTTTATGCACAAATATATTTTAACTGCTGTTTTTAACGTTAGTTTAGGAACCGGGGCAGATGTTGAAATACTTCTGGAGTCTGAAATAATGTCACCTTGTGACTCAAAATATTGTTTACATTTATGATCATCAACAATAATAAATTATTATTGTGTGCAATTTCCCCCAAACCCCAACAACAACAATACAGTTGACACCAGCATAAAAACAGTGTAAAAGACAAAAAAGACAAAGGGTAAAAAAATAATCTAGATTGTTTCACAAATATAGACTTATGGACAGTTTAGAGATGACTTAATAAATAAATACCCAGTACAAACAATCTTTGCAGAAATCTATCATGTGGACACACACAACTAATTAATAAAGACATTTGATAAATAAAACCAGTTTATTTGTAACACAAATTGTATATGAATTAAAATATGAAGTAAGAGATTTGCTAGAAATCCTGGTCACGCCTTTCATGTAAATTGGGGTCACTGTGGAGGTGACCAACAAGATAACTAGATGTATGCATTGAACTTTCTTGATTGAGCATTTGCTGAAGTTTTGATATATTCCCTTGTTCTGTGTCAGAATATACGCCGGAAATAGACAATGAACTCTCTTGTCTTGTTACAGCATGAAGAGCTGTCAGTGTATTTTGATAAGCAGAATCGGATATATCTTTGCCCTGCTCTGAGCTTGGATTTATGGCAGACAGCAAACTTGCCATTGGTCCATAACAAATTCCTGGGTTATTATCTGAGACAGTGAGCTCATTTTGCTGGGGAATATAATAATAAGATGCTTTGCTTTGATCAAGTGGATAAAGTTCAATATCTTGGTGGGAATGAAGGTGGTTGCCACCAGACTGCAAGCCTGAGATCTGACCTGCAGAAATGTCTTGCATATATGCATCGTCGTCGGTTATGTAAGATAAGTGAGTATTGTAATGCCCTTGCTCCATAAGTGGCAAATTTAACAAGGAAGGTTGTAGAGTTGATAGAGCAGGTAGTTCAGACTTACTTATGTTGTCTGCAGATGTAATTCCAGTTTTTGTTTGAACATCTTGGTACTGATGCTCATTAGTGTCTTTAGAATCATCAGTCACATTTTTTATGTAGAGCCTTCTGGACCCCTGCTGTTTAGGACCTCTCAAACGTGGTCTTATGTTAACAAAGCCTTGCCCAGAATTACTGACTGGAATATCCTCCTCTAGAATAAAATCCACAGGATTGGTTGTTTCAGTAACCTCATTTCTATGACTTTTCACATGTGTCCGCATATTGTCTCCTCTGGTGCCCTTTTTACCACAAATTTTACACATAAAATGTTTTTTAGGAACGTGAATAGTTTTGACATGTTTAGACAGGCCTCCTTTATCTGGGAATGTGCTACCACACTGTGAACATGAATATGTGGCATCATTTTCATGGCGCTTCATATGAGCAGCACAGCAATTTTTAGTTTTGAAAGCTTTCCCACAAAGAGTACATAAAAAAGTTTGAGATTCTCTGTGCACATATTTATGAGTATATAAAGAAGCTTTAGACTTAAAAGCTTTCCCACACGTGAGACATGCGTATGGACGAGCTTTGCTGTGAATGTTCATATGAGCTTGGAGAGAACTTTTGAAAAGAAATGCTTTCCCACACAGCTCACACATAAACTGTTTCTGCTGTTTGCCATGACGTTTCATGTGTGCATTCTTAGTATGTTCAGATTTATAGGATTTACCGCAAAGTTCACAACAGAAATTCTTGACATCTATGTGAGATGTTGAATGAGCCCTGAGAGACTGTTTTGATGGGAAACTTTTGCTGCACTTATCACATGGGAAAGGTCTTTCTCCAGAGTGCTTTTGAAGATGCTGCTTCAGGCTACAGCTGTATGAAAATGCCTTACCACATATGTGACATATTATGCTTCCAACCCCATGAGCTGCTTCAGTGTGGACCTTGAGGTGATTTGATGTGAGATATGTTTTATGGCAGGTCTGACACTTGTGCGGGCGTTCACCTTTGTGGCGCTGAACATGCAGTTTGTAACTGTGATGAAAATTAAATGTTGCACTGCACTGCTTGCACTTATATGGTTTATCTTTAGTGTGGAGACCCCTTTGGTGATGGTAAAGGGAGTCTTTTGTTTTGAGAGTTTTCCCACAAATATCACACTGATATCCATTACTATGTGATCGCAAATGTCTTCTAAACAAGACCTTTTTTGAAAAAGTTTTAGAGCATTCACTGCAAGCATAAGATTCTTGTGTATTATTCAATTCTCTTTTATGTTTGGACACATTTCCTTTGTTTTGACTTTCAGCTTCATTCACAATAATTTTTGCTTGTTCTTTGACTAAACACATATCTTTGTTTTTCCTAATACTAATAGGGTCATCTTCATTCTCAATAGTCTCATGGTCATGCTGGATGGCTCTTTTTTTTAAAGGCTTAGTAATTGCACAAACTTCTGGAAATTCTTTCTCTTTGCTAGCTCGAGAAACCTTAGAAACAGTGTTACCTAATTTCCTTTTCCCTCGAAGCAGCATTTTAAAAGATTTAGTCTTTTTATTCCTCTCTGGGCTTTTGGTTGAAATTGTTGGCATAGACAAATCATTTTTTTCTAAGTCTTGGTTTACATTATTAATTTTTGTCGGGTTAGTTCGTTTTCTTCTTGAATTTTTATTTTCATATGAAACTTTTGTGCAAATAACATCTTTTTTTATATCAGCAGTTGGCTGGGATTTCGCTATTTCTTTCTGCTGTAAAGATGAAAACTTGTCCATACTTAGTCCTGCGAATGAATATTGAAATGATCACATTCATTATCCCTGCAAACAATCCTAAACATTTTTTTATAAAGAACAAAATATAAGTGAATGCACACACAGATTATTTTTAAAAAGTGGCAAGTGAAGATTACAGGCCTTATGGACTGATATAATAACTTATAAGCCCTACTCATTAAAAATGCAGTTTTAATATTGAAATAGCTAGAATGAAGCCTATGACTCTTTTTTAGGGCCATTACTTAAAAAACTGTTAGAAACAATAACAAGTTGAGCCAACAACAGTAATACTTGATTGTATATTTTCTATAATAATTTAAAAAACTAGCATTTCCATCAATAACAGAAAGATGATTATTCTAAATTTCATACATACCATGATGAGTGTGCACTTTATATTCACCTTGCATTTGTGAAGCCTTATGAGAAGCATCTCCAGGAAAACTGTTTTGTAAAATATCAGTAAGAATGCTTACAAGTTCACCATGACTCAGTTTCCCAAGCTGATTTAAAGAAATGTTGCTTTTCTTTAGGGTTTCAAAATCTGTGATTTCATTTATTCTTTTATCCCCGGAATTTTCATTCAGACTAAGGTGTTTATCCTCATCACAGCTCTCAGAATCTTTTGATGTTTGTCTTATCATTTCAGTTACACTTGCATTTCCTTCTACTGCTTGAGATGAATTAACCATAACATCTTCATTGTAAGAAGAGTGGTGAACCTGTGCATTTTTATCATTTCCATTACTTTTGTCAACAGATGGTTTGCTGAGATGTTTAATACTTTTATTTAAAAATGAATCAGCAGTCAAAATATCTAATTTAGTTAAATTATTTCCAGAACAGCAATCATCTCTTTGTTCCTGAAAAACCAGATCCTGTTTAGAGTATGTATATTTTGATCGAGGTTCATTAATTAAAGCACTATTATCACAACAAAAAATCTCTGATTCCATGGTAAGATGGTCGGTTTTGAATAATCTATGATGTGAAGACTCCGGATCATGCTGAAGCAGTTTGCAGCTTTGAGGCATATGTTTTGCCAATGATGGTGAAATGTATCCAGAAGATGAAAACAAATCATCAACTTTTACAAAATCTTTTTGCTCTTGTTCAGCAAAGAATTTTACAGGTAACATTGTTGATGAAACAGAATTGTGCATTATACCTTGAGGTTCAGAGATGGATAAAATACTGTCTGCTTCCTCTGTACATTGATCTTGTGTTTTTGTAAATTCTGTAATCACATCAAGAGGTGCAGATTTAAAGTAATTATGTGACACTAAGAACACAGGCTTTCTAAAATTTAAATTTATGTTGCTTACTGGTGCTAGGGTTTGAGGACTAGTTATCAAAGAGGAACATTTCAGCATTGTGCCAACTTGAGAATTTTGTGTTTCAAAACATGTTTTTGAGGGCATGATTTTGGCTTCAAGTGAAACATGTTGATAAATCTCAGGACTAACTTCGAGCTGCTGTTGTTGAACATGATGTTGAATAGGGTTGTTTTTTTCTGCTTTTGAATGAAATACCACATCTACTGCTGATGCACCAACTGTAAAAGTTAGCTGACCCTTCAAATGTATCTGATTCCTTTCTAATTTTGATTTAAAGTCATTTATTATTTGTTGTATTGTAGATGTTGAAAAAACAGAGTCAGTAACTGTTTCTTGACAACTACCACCACTTTCTCTAGAAAAATAAAGAAGAAAAACAGTTTATTGCAGGCTACACATCATAAATTGGCAAGATTTAACTATAAAAATGTAAGTATTTTTTTAATTAAAAGAAATAAATAAGCTCTTCACTTTAAATTGAATGTGAATACTCAATTTTGGGTATCATATTCTATATACCTATTTTTTTAGCCCCCTCCGCCAATAAAATTAATAATAAAACCAATAATTATGAGGTCAAAACTTGGTAAATCACAGGATTATCAGATTTTAAAAAATTAATAAATTCAATACTTGTGACTGTGAGATTTACTTCTCATTAGTAATTGCATATTCTATAATTATAAGGCAATATTAATAGGCGAATACCTATTTATTATTATTTAAAATATATCATTACCAATCATTGCACATCAAAGTTTAAAAAAAAAAAAAAATAACGCTTGCTTGGGTATTGAATATCATAGTCATAACATTATTTACATTATAAACTAGGGGTGTGCCGGATCCGTTTTTTCCAACCGGATCCGGATTTTCTTATGCGAAATCCGCCGGATCCGGATTCTGGAATAATCCGGATTCCGGATTTTGGTACTATTGGCCACTATTAGCGGTGCTGACTCTAGCCTCTGGTATGTTCGGAATATTAAACATTGTGGAATTCGTGAAAGAGAATTACTTTTATTTCAGATTATGATCCGGTGAGTCACAAAATCTGGCAAATTCCGAAATCCGGTATATTCCGGATTCCGGTTGTTCCGGATACATGTAAATCCGGACCGGATTGCGGCACACCCCTATTATAAACTAAGTAGGCCTATAGTACTATAATTTCTTTTTTGTGTCCCTCAACCCCCCCCCCCCCCTCCCCCGTGCCAAGATTCTATAAAAGGGGGGGAAAAAACAACCTTTCATGAATTGTTCTATCTTTTCCAAGTCCAAGTTTCATCATTTTTAAAAATTAGATATTTTAGTAGATTTTAAACTTAAATAAAGGCCACAAACCAACACATTATTATTAAAATATAATTCCTAACTTTGCAACGTCAAAAACGTACCGCAATTAAATAAGGAAAAATGTAACAAAAACTTTGGAAATCTTAAAAAAAAAAACCAAACAACAGTTATATGATTTTTTAAACATTTGAAAACGTAACTATTGAATAATGAGAATTATATTTATAGTTTGAAAAAAGAGTGTTTTTGATACTGATAGATAAATTACATTTGGCCTTTGAGGCCAAAGTATATATATGGCAGGAAATTTTGTGATAGGCCGAGACAAGAAAATTTTGTGATTAATGTATAAGAAAAGATACTTATTATTCTGATAAGGATTTGAAAATAAATTAATAAAGGGCATATAAATACTACTACAGCCCTAAAAATATTATTTAAAACTTGAGATCTAAGATAAATTTACACAGATCAGAAGCTTCAAAACTACATCGCGTAAATTACAACTCACACATTATTATAATGCTTTTCAGCCATTTTGGCCTTGTAAATATGCCAGATAAAAGAATAATCTGTAGCCAAAGATAATCATCCGCTCGTACTTCGGCCCTTGGTACAAAAAGCAGTATGGAGTTAACTGTTACAGAAACATACTGGATTTAGTTTTAGCATTGATTATGTTTCAGACACCCCCAGCCCCACCCCCACAAAATATAAACACACATTGGCTATGTTTTATTTGAGTGGTTCTGCTTAGATTAGTGCTTGGGTTTTTAACTTTTTTTGTTCCATGGATCCATTTGCCAATAAAGACTTGTTTTCTTTTCAGAACTTAACTATGAACTTTTGATATTTTTGAATTTAACCGTAAACTCAATAAACAGTAAATTTATTTTAGCACTGGCAATAAAATTTCACTCTGTTTAGTTCAAACTGTAAAAAAAATCAAAGTAGTATTCTAATTTCATTTCCTTGTTTGGAAATTGTCAATGTGAAAAATTAATTTTACTCTCACTATCTCTTTCGGTACTCAAAATAGTCCAATAGTCTCCTGAGTTTTGAAGTCAAAGAAACTGGCTTTGAGATTTCCACATTGTGATTTAATTACAAACATGGCCAAAACATTAACACAAATGTTTCAACTCCGCGTTATATAATATATTATAGATATATATATACATATACTCTCTCTATATATTTACAGTGCTTTTTGGTAAAAAAAAATAGGTGCCGGTACTCAGTGATAGATTGCCTAACTTTTAACTACCAGTTCGCACCTCGATGCAAGCTAAATCACAAATGCAAAGATGCAATTTTAAAATAATTCAATTTTAACAAATTAATAATATAATAACTTAATGATAAACGATAAAATAAAAGAAAAGTAAAAGGAATAATTTTTTCCCCACATTGAAAAAGGTGCCGGTACGCCGTACCGGTGCGTACCGTCACAAAAAAGCACTGTATATATATATATATATATATATATATATATATATATATATATGTATTATTTTCATTCAAATAGGGATGAGTTTCATTCTTGTCATAAACGCAAATATACAATATATATTATAAAACATAAAAAGGTGCCAGTACGCCGTACCGGTGCGTACCGTCACAAAAAAGCACTGTATATATATATATATATATATATATATATATATATATATATAAGTATTATTTTCATTCAACTAGGGATGAGTTTCATTCTTGGCATAAACGCAAATATACAATATATATTATAAAGCACCTTTCTTGTGGCGGTGTGTCAAGAATGTGTAATGTCGGTGTACCGATCCGTCTTTTGGCGTGATTTGTTTTTATAAAAAAAGACTCAAATTTGAAATCTTAAATAAAACTCAGAAAACAATATTACTATTTGGAAGCTACGCATACTAACTGCGGCACGAGTAGGCCTATGTATGAGTTATCATCTGATAATTATGTGCTTTACAAATTATCAATACATTTAATTCTCTCGGGATGAAGAAAGTATTGTTGAACTCAATATCACGTGAAATATAGTAACCGAAAACTGTGCTAATGAGAATCTTTAAAATACACCAAGATCGTTTAGAGCGGTGTTTCCCAGTTTGATTGTGGGGGGGCTAATTGGATAATGAGCTGACTAGAATTTAAAGACCAACCGTCTACAATAATTTTTATTTGTATTTTTATGAAAGAGCAACATTAAAATCTCTATTTACTGCTCAAGCTGCAACTGCCCATCCTACTCTTGAGGCTAGTTATGAAATGCCCTTACTCATCATACTACATGAGAGAATTTAATAAATCCATCAATATCAGCATTTCTTAAAATGGTTCTGGGGAAAAGATGAAAAAGACGTGAAAGCTATGCCACTCAGTAACAATACCGTTCATGGGCGCCCGCAGGGGGGCAAGGGGGGAACTTGCCCTCCCCCCCTGGATTTATTGGATAACAAATTTTTAGACAAAAATAGACAACAAAATTATTAAAGTAAAGAGAAAATAAAGAGAAAGTAACTAAGCCGATGTCCTGTCCGTTCGTTCACCATACAAATACGCTACAGAAAATAAAAGTTTAACAGATCCCCCCCCCCCCCCCTAGAAAGTTTTCTGCGGGCGCCCATGATACCGTTAGCAGAAGAATAGACGAAATGAGTGAAGATATTGAAATAAAACTTGTTGAAAAGCTGAAAACTAGAAGATTCTCAGTGCAAATAGATAAATCAACTTTGAGAGACAGTAAGGCTGTATTGGAAACTTACGTAAGATATCATGATAAAGGGTATTTTGCTGAAGAAATGTTTTCTGTAAATCATTAGAAAGCATCACTACCGCCAAATATCTCTATGTATTATATAACAGCTAAAAAATTACTTAGATGTCAATAATATACCAATATCATCTTGTACTGCAGACGGTTCTCCTAATATGATGGGAAAGAGAAATGGCTCCTTAAAATTGATGAAAGATGAGAATCTAGAATGCTATTTGTGCATTGTGCTATACACAGGGAAAACTTTGTAGCTAAAAACATTTCGCGTGTTCTAAATGAAGTCCTAAATTAAGTTTTAAAGTGTATCAATGCTATTAAAGCAAATGCCAAATGCGAACGTCTCTTCGAGCTATTTTGTGAAAAACAAAATGCAGACTATGTGAGACTTTTACCTCACATTGATGTAAGATGGCTTTCGAAAGGGAATAGCTTGAAAAGATTTATGGAACTATTTGATACTCTTGCGATTTTTTAAAGGGACGAATCTGATATGAAATATCTGTTACGGTCGATGATAAAGCATGTGTGAGTAAATTAGCCGATATCTTTGAAAAAATAAATATATTACACAACCAACTTCAAGGAACAAATGAAACTCTTGTTGATGCTTTGTGAGGAAACAGAAATCAATATCCACATTCAACCAAATGTTCTAGAAAACTATTGTTACCGTCTCCATCTTCATATTTAGCTGAATGTGGATTTAGTGTCATAAATGATTTGTTTCAACAACAAAAAACAAAAAAAAAATGGAAAAAAAATAGAAAAGAAATCGGCTGGAAATAATACAACGGGGAGACTTGAGACCGAAGCTATAAGCTAAATTGAAACCTAACATAAAATCTCTTTGCAGCAAGCATCAAGCACAAACATCTCACTAAATTTAAATAATAAATAATGACTAATAAATAAATTATTTTGTAAAATCTTTCATTACAATTATTTCGTACTTGAATTTCAGTTCTCCATTAGATGTTAATTAAGTTTCCTCGAACAAATTTTTTAACAATTTCTTCCTAAAACCTATCATTTAAGTTTCTTCAGATAATAACCCTATTTTGAATTATTAAAAAAATTGTGGATTTGAGACATTAGGGGGGGGGGGGGGGAGGGGGGCATAAGAGTTTTAGAAAGGCTAAGGTGGGGGGTGGCACAAAAAAGTTTGGGAAACAATGGTTTAGAGAGTAGCCTGATATTTTCTTTTGCTTTACTGAAATACTAGGGAATTTAAATATCGCAACGTGGCGTTAAGAATCTGCTGTGTAATACGGGGTGGGGCTTTAGAAAAAAGTGAAAAAAGTGTGCGGTAAAATACCTTGGAAAGGGGGTTATGGTAAATTGGCACTAAATGGGATTCTTATAAAGTGCGTTACTTAATTGCATGTATTTTTCAAGTATCTTTAGTGGATGGGAAGTTCACACGCACTGCCGCCTCCTTTGTCAGGCGGGCTTTCACTAACTAGTAAATAAACATGTGTGTGCACCATTGATTTGGTATTTATTTTATTTATTAGGTGAAGATTTGACTCTCGATCAAAGTGGCACGCGAAGCCATAATTTGTGATTGGCCCGCCCTGCTTGATCAGATAGTCTTCTGATAGTTGGATACTTAAAATTCTGCGACCGTTTCGCCCGAGACGACTCCAAATACTAAGACCTGGTCACGAAGTTTCTGTTTCAAATGTCCCTTTCCCTGGTGATCAGCTGTTCGAAGCTGAAGAGCGTAATGAGAAGTGATGGGAACGTTGGTAGGAGCAGTAGTTATCCCAGTGGCTTAGGAAGGGGATACGGAGGGGGCGGTCCGCCCTGGGCGGCACTTTTTCTTATATGGAGGGTGGCATCTTGGACCAACAAAAAAGGTGTTTTTTTTCGTGGAATGGGGACAGGAGAAATCTTTGTCCACCCCGGGTAGTGATAACACCAACTATGCAACTGAGCTGTCCAATAGCATTACGAAGGACAGTAAATGACCCTAAATAAAAAATAGTACCTATGCACTGGACTATTTATTACAGTAGCGATATATATCGCGATCACTAGTGACTACATGAAGCAACAGTATGACGATGACAGTGGTGGACTGGAGTGTTCACATAGTCCGGGACTAAAACAAAGGAGAGATTTAATGCACAAAGTTTTATTGTACGGTAACGTAGAAGCGTCCCAGGCATCCCCAATACAACCGGCCCTGGCAGCCCCAATACAACCGGCCCTGGCAGCACCAATACAACCGGCCCTGGCAGGCCCAATACAACCGGCCCGGCAGCCCCAATACAACCGTCCCTGGTCGCACCAATACAACCGTCCCTGGCAGCCCCAATACAACCGGCCCTGGCAGCACCAATACAACCGTCCCTGGCAGC